CTTTGTGACGTAAGATGTCAGCAATTAAAGCATATTTTTGAATCATTCTTTATTTAATAAAATGCCCTACACTTGCGACACGCTTTGGGCTATATATTTTCACGTTATTAAAATTAGCGGGGTAAATAAATTGGAAAAAACCCTTCATGTGGGAAACGGACCATAAACTACAAGCTGCCAACATTAAGGAAGCAAGGTATGTATTTTGTTATATTATGGTAATTTTGACATTTGCAATTGAGAATTCGGCAAATGTAAACAATAAAATAACGTTTTTTAATCGCACGCGGAAGAAGCCGTTCGGGTACAGCTAGTTATAAATAAATCGATCTTGATTTTGATTTAAGGACTGCATATCGTCGCTTACGAAATAGCTAAAACTATTCTTTCATTGTTAATATAAATTTTCAAATAACTTCATCTGTTAGTAGAGCGTTTTAGTTAATTTAATTTACGCGTAAACTTTCCGAACCGTGCACAATGCGAATAATTTTATTAAAAAAGTAACGTAGCTTTGGCTAAATCTAGGAAACATTTGCATACCAACCTACATTTTCCGTTCCCCGAGGCACCGAAATATACGAGATTTCGCTTCGTTTTTCGCATTTTAACGGTTTTTTCAGTTGTTAGCAATGTAGTGCATTGTTGGGAGTAAGCTTGAGGTTTACACCTTATGTTCCCGCACGTGTAAGCCACAGTTAGTACAACTGAATAAATTCTCATTTGGATTCACGTTAGAATTTAATAAAATTCTCTTAGAATATTATTAAAATTTCATACAGCTGAGATTCTCTCGATGATTGTGTCGAAGACGTGATTCTATTCCTTCTTCCCTTTCAGTTCTAATAAAAGAAATGAGAAAGGGAGATATCATTTTTAATTTTATCCTCTTTGTCCAGTAAAGGTAAAACTGGTAACTGTAACAAATTACTGCGGTAAAGATCTATGGCAGTGGTCATTTAACACACAATTTTTTTGTTTCTTTGCCCTTACCCAAAACAATAGTTTCGCTTTAAAACTAAACTAATGATTCCAAGATATTGATCAATTGACCTTATGGTATTTAATATCTTATATATCAATAAACACGTCTGCCACAATACCTTTTAGCTCCCAATTCATTATCGTTGGCGCGTGACTGTTGAGTGCGGGATCCATTGAATGTGAAATGAGCACGAGGTAATTCAATCAATCAACTCTGGTAGGCTTTGTATTGTTTATTATGTTCTGCCTTTTATCCGAATTATAATTCTTTTATAATAAAGAGTCTTATCCTGTTCCATTGGGTTGCCTGTAAGACAAGGCCGCCCTAGCGCCAATCTTGTACCTAGTAGGTTAGTTATAATGGTTTATAGTGTAACATTTGTGCAAAAAGAACTATATAAAAAGTGTATGTTTCCTATTAGGTAGAAACCAGGACAGAGCGCGCTGGCGTCGTTCTGTGGACGCCCTCTGCCCAAATTTGGGGACATAGGATAAGAGAGATAGAGAGAGATATTTCCTATTGAACTGAGATTTGTAATAAAGAAGTATCTCTACTGCCGAAATATAAGTTAAAAATGTTATTTTTTATATGTACAATAGAATCTGATTTCGATTGTTTTGATGAATTTGAATAATACGTAATAACTGATATTTTAGTTAATAAAAACATTGGATATGTGATTCATTGGATGGTAGTTTGAGGGTGGTCCGTCGATCCTGGCAACAACGCCTGAACTGGGTCAGATAAGTAATCCGATTGCGTCAAATGAATATTAATGTTCTCTAAGCTTTATGAGTCTACACATCATTTTAATCGGATCATATTGAATTGAAAGTAAACATAAAATATGTTACGAATTTTAAAAACTTGGCAAATTTTTATTTAAACGATTTTCCGATTAGAATCCTGAATGAGATATTTCAATTAATTTCTGTTTTTTTTGTATTTCTGGTAGTTAATATTCACTTTAGTAATTCGTGTTAATAAAAAAGGCGAGAACTGTAAAACAGATCAAATTAGGATTACTTCACTGTAAAAGTTTATGAAATATTTTCAACTAATTAGATGTTTACTCTTATCCGTTCTCTATCGTCGTATTAAGCAAGTAATGTGCAAGAAAGTACCCACGCAAGCTAAACGCAATAAATTTGCATCAATTGCCGTGAATCGATGTTAATTACGCGAGCGCTGAGAACAATGGATTGCATTGCATCTTGTAACCCGTTATTATTAGAACCCATTCACATTAAAACTACGATCGGTAACTGTGGGTTCCCACTGTCGATACATGTTTGTAAACATATTGCCGTCTCTTTCATTTTCTTAAAAGCATATTTTGGTCACATAATTTCGCAGTAATGGATACGACACAAGGAAAATAACTTTTATACTTTATTAATAAATTGTTTTAACGTGGTAATATCCAAATTCTTCGATCAAACAGGTAAATAAGTTATTGTATTATTCTTAGTAGGTCCTGGCTTAATTTCTTTTCATGTGCAGTGTAAACCGTTCTTAAGATCTGCAACACTTTGAAATGCCGTTAACAACTCGCTCTTGCTCTCAAACTAACGAAGCTTCGATCATTGATCTAACGAAGTTCTATTAAAGTAATAGGTACAGTCTTCAAAAGAATCATTAAATTTATTTTCTCCTTAAAGTATGAACGTTGAAATTTAATTAAAGACTAGAGTTTTTCTTAGCTAAATTCTATTTGTATCGTATCTACAAAGCGTCAAGAACACCGACCGTTTTATGCCCTCCTCTTGATGTTACTTTCTATTTATGTTTTTAACCATCGTGAAGAAATAACGCCTTTAATAGGTAAAAAGGTTTCAGTATAAAATATGTCGATAAAGCAGAATATATATTCAAGATGTTACAAATTTTTATTCATTAGCAAGTTATTTTCGTCTTTAAAGAAGTAACAAAAAGCACTAAAAAGCCGTGTTGTTTCTCTGATTGTTGCTTATTGTTCATCGGCAAATTCCAGAGAGGGATTGACCTAAAATTATTTTGTTACACGCTCGTATTTGAGGGGACGATTTATTTCTGGATATCAAAGAATGTGTTCTTGTTTGATTCGGGTAATTATGCTTGATTCTGTTTACGTTGCGAAGGTTGCGGTTTGCGTCATTCTCGCGACTTTTGGCAAACGAATGTACAATCGGGAAAATTGGCGGTGTTCCTTAAAAGCTATAATCGTTTGAACATTTTGAAACGAGACATGAAACTAAAACCAATACAATGTCTGTACGAAAAAAAAACGGCTTTTTTTTTGACCGACTTCCCAAAAGAAGGAGGTACTCATTTCATCTGTATGTTTTTGTTTATTTACCTTCGTTTGCACCACTCTCTGCTATCTAATTAAATATTTGTAGGAAGAGGAGTTTGTCTCGTTGCAGTGAACAAAAGAAATTTCTCCTAAAGTGAAACACCGCAGATTTCCTCGACTGTACGTTGTCAGACAATGTTTACAGTTTATTTAAAACATCCCAAACAGTAAGCGGATTACCTTCAAAGCGGACGAATATTTAGGTCGATATTTTTTATTGAAGAATCAAAACAGCTGTTGTATGAGACCTTAATATTGAATTTGTGAAAGGTATTGTGTTAATTTCTTACGTTTAAATTGCTATTACATTAGTATTCAGATGGATTCAAAACACAGCTTCTTATTCCTGTCTTTTTCTATGAAATCGTGGTTTTTTACTGCGTATTCCGAATCGTTTCAGACGTCACTAATTTGATATTTAATAGTCTTATTATTCATTCAACTTTAAAACATTTAGTTAATATATTTATTATCTTTTCTTTGTCTCAAAACCGACAGTAACCAGTGGAGATGCCAGTCAACAAACATTTATTATTCAAGGAGTCACCCGTGAAATTAGGGATGTTCCACGTTTCCGCTCGACGTCCCTAGCGGTGAATAAAAACGAATTATCTCGTGTAGTATGTATCACCGTGAGACGCACACCCCTATTGTGTACGTGACTTGATTCAATGCCGCATCGATTTATTGATATCGTTTTGGACATGATACGATATTTCGGTGGCAGCTATCACGTCAACTTCAAGTGTTACTCTGTTTTATCAACTTTTACTTTTATTTACCTCAATATTTCTAAACACTCGATTTAGGTCATAGCAATTATTGAAATGAAATAGTGCTAATTTCGTGGGTACAAGAAAGTTACTTGGAAATCAAATTCTTGCTTTCTATTCATCTCAAGTGACATTGTTATTACGTTCGTCTAAAAATTTAATAGTTTAGTGACTACAAACGCATTACAAATCTTCTCCAGTCCCATCTTCATTTATGTGTTGTTTCGTAATTGCACTAAGAATAAGAAAATACTAGTTTATTTTTTATTTCCCTTTTAAGAATACGACATTTATAGAACACGACGAACTCTATTCTTAGAATTTCTTGTACCATTATATCTAAAAATAAAGCTGCTTTATTGTAACGACCTAAATTATTTACAATTGTTTTAAAAGAAACTCCGTAGGAAACGCTTATAAGTAACGTTACGCTAAGTTCATATTTATGTACTTTATGTTGTTAATAATTTCTTAATTAATAAAAATTCAATGTGTTAACACAATAAAATATTTTATATCATAAATAGTAATTTAAGTACTCCTTAAGCTTTTTTATGTTTCCAATAAATTACTTTTAAATCTTTACTATATTACTATATCTATCTATACTATTATAATAAAGCGTAAACACACACTTCTTTGTTGCCTAAGATGTTAGCAATTACAGCAAATTGTTGAATAATTCTTTCTTTAATTAAGATACACTTACGTCACGGTTTAGGCTATATATTTTCACGCGATTAAACTTAGGGAGTAAATATTTTGGATAAAAACCCTAATGTGGGAAAGAGACCATAATTTGCTGCCAACATCAGGAAGGTAAGATTACCATGGTTTGAATGTCATGTCATTTTGATATTTGCAATTGATAATTTGAGAAATGAAAACAATAAAATAAAATTTGTAACAAGATAAATTAAGACTACTCGCGCCATCGTATGCCGAGTAGTAAAATCGTGCATGCGGCGCCTTAATGCATTGATGCAACTGAACAATTACGCCGCTTGTCACTAGATGGCGCCGTGGTTCACTTATATGCCACTATCGATGTACATAGATGGTTTCGTGACCTCGGCCGCCGTGACCAACTTTTGGTGAGCTTGAAGGGAGCTCGTGAAGAGCTTGGTGTGCTTGGTTACTCGTGGTGTGCTTACGCTAGGCACTCTTGGTGCTTCAACCATTGCTTGAACACTCAAGGGTCCTCGGAAAAGCATTAACTCGCCTTGCATAACTGCGCCTCACCTAAGTTGGGTCATTTATGTAAGCGGTGATCAGCCCACGTAACGCTCGCCCCGCACCCCCCGCGCTACAAGTGGCGCCCAACGTTTGGCCAGTCTGCGTGACGTCATCGTGGTGCTACGAAGACTGCTACGGGTCTCGTGACGTCATCTTACGTGCTACGAGTTTGCTACGAACGTGCTACGAATTTTTAACGTTTTCGTGGTGCAACGGGACTTGTGTCGTCGTCGAGGTGCTACGAAGCCTGTGACGTCATAAGCGTGCTACGATTTTCGTCGCGTCATCGTCACAATCAACGCAACGCTAGACGACCTACATTTATGAGCGGAAAAAGCGGATTAGCGAAGTTACAAAGTTCGTCTTTTGTTATTACACGCGCAGGACGTTCTACAACCATTAAGAAGCAAAATACAAACGCCGAGATGTTATCACCGGAACAATTTACGCAGTTGTTAGAAAGACTGCCTGTAGCAGCGCAACCTCATAAAGGGTCCTTTATCACTTGCAAATACTTCTTCAATGGTGAAAAAGATGCCGAAGTGGTGGAAGCGTTCTTGTCAGCAATCAATATCTTTAAACGTTCCGCAGATATTGGCGATAAGACTGCACTAAGCGAACTCCCGATTATCCTAAAAGGTGAAGCTGGAGTCTGGTGGTTAGGCGTGAAGAATGATGTAACTACGTGGTCGGATTTCGAATCTCAACTGCGGGAATACTTTGCGCCTACCCGCGAACCCTACCAAATTTATCTGGACATAACGCAGGAGAAACAAGGCAAGGAAGATTCTACTGATGATTTTATTAGGCATAAGCGGATGTTGTTTTCTCAACTCCCTAGCCCAGGACACAGCGAAACTCAGCAGTTAGATATGATTTACGGCTTGCTGCGCTTAGACATAAGGGATAAGGTTTCCCGGGCTGCCGTAGATAATTTTAAGGATCTGACGAAGGCGGCTAAAGCGGCTGAGCTTGTCCTACAGGAAAAGGACGCCGTTGTTGTCACTCACAACGGAAAGAAGTCGTCAGAGTCGTCTCGCAACGCTACCAATCCTACTAGACTAGATCCAAGGAAAGGTAAATGTAGGTTCTGCCGTAATTATGGTCACTTGGCTGAAAACTGCCGGAAGCGTTTGCGACTAAACGAGGACAAGGAAGGGAATGTCACGGAAGCATCTACATCTGTGGCAGTTACCCAAGCGCCATCACTATCTGCACCAAAATTCAGTTGCTATGGCTGCGGAGCCCCTGGTGTGGTGAGAGCCAACTGTTCAACGTGCCACGCAAATAAGAATAAACGGCCTCAAGTGGACATCGGATTTTGTTCGATAGATAGTGTGATCGACGCCAGAGACAGACCAGTTATTTTTGTTGAGATTGGTGGTGTAAATGGTTCTGTATTCCTTGACAGCTGTGCTAAATCCAGCGTTGCGTCGTACTCATTGTATTGCCAATTGAGAACGAAAGGATTCACTTTCCGAGAGTATGATGTTGGTGTAACATTGGCTGTTGGCGACCCGAAACGTCGGAAGGTGCTGGTCACTGAGGCACCTGTAAAAGTTAACGACCGTATCGTCATGACAACTTTCCTGTTCTTCCCTGACTCACATAGTTCCAGAACACTCCTCGGTGTTGGATTTATTCAGGATGCCCACATCGAGATAAGCCTACCACAGAGTACATGGCACTTTACTGATGATCCAACTCAAGTTTTCGAGCTGTACCCTGAAAGTTTCGTCGATCACCATAGGAAAACGTCATTGGCTGCATTAACGCCGGATGACTCTCCATCATGTTCACCATCGTTTCGGGAGGAAACTAGCACATCGCAATCATACGGTCCTCTGATTGGGATTGATGCTCCGTCGCCTCCCAAGAAAAGACTTGAACCTATATACCTAGCAAATCATTCTCCAATATTGGACGCCTTGTACGAAGATGCAAGGATATGTCTTCAAAATTATGACACGGAGGACGAGCTAGATGACGTTGACGATGCGCTCTTTCCGTCTATTACCTTTCATCGGTCGATGTAACAATATTAAACGACCTTTTAGCCAAAAATCAAGACATCTGCATAACTAACGGAGGACTAGTCCAGAATTTCTGACACGCAATGGAAACGGGAGATCACGAACTGATTTCTCTGCCGTATTGTTTGTCGCTGTTAAAGTTTGAAATTTAAAGAGAAGCAGGCCGAAGAAGTAGTCTGTCTTTAATGCCGGCTCTCCACAAGCAACACGAGCTCGTGCCCGACCACACAAGTAAACTAAACACAGGAATTATGGATCAGCAGATGGAGGTCACGAAACCATCTATGTACATTGATAGCGGCATGTAAGTGAACTATGGCGCCATCTAGTGACAAGCGGCGTAATTGTTCAGTTGCATCAATGCATTATGGCGCCGCATGCACGATTTTACTACTCGGCATACGATGGCGCGAGTAGTCTTAATTTATCTTGTTACAACTCTCCCCCTATGTCCACGCAGGCGTCCCGACAAGTGAGACATAATTCCTGTGTTTAGTTTACTTGTGTGGTCGGGCACGAGCTCGTGTTGCTTGTGGAGAGCCGGCTTTAACGACAGAATGCTTCTTCGGTCTGCCTCTCTTTCAAAATGGCATAGGTGGTTCAGGAACAGTCTCGTCCCTGATTCGATACGGAGTGAAGGCGGACGCATGGTACACGCCCACAAGGGTAATGTCCGATAATCAGTTAGGATTGGTATCTTTGCGTCTTCTAGGCAGCCCCGGAGTTTTCCAACGGCCCAGACCACTCCTAAAGCCTCGCATTCAGTCGTGGAGTAATTCCGCTCAGCCTTGGTTAAAAGACGACTGGTGTTTACAGCGGGGTGTCCCATTTCACCCTTCTCCTGTTCAAGAACTACTTTGAGAGCGTAGCTGCTCCCATCGGTTTTGATTGTACATGGTTTGGTGTGATCAGCTTGAACTAATACTGGAGAGGACGCGAAAAGGTTGCACAGCACGCCGAAGGCCTGAACTTGTTCCGCTACCCATTCCCAGGCAGCATTCTTGTTGCTCGAGCGTGTTAGTGGCTCAGCGACTCTGGCAAAGTTGTGTACAACTCTTCTATACCAGGAACATACTTGCACTAAAGACAACAAGTACTTGAGGTTACGAGGAGGCAACATATCTAGTCCATCAGAAATATTAAATCCTCTGACAGCAAAATTCGTATTTCTCTCTGTTCGCTGTTAAATTCAACTCCTTGAGTTTGTTGAAGACCTCCTACAAATCGTTGAGGTTATCTTCGAGTGTAGCCGACATGAAAATGAAGTCGACTTGATATAACTCAGGATGATTCGCAACCAATTCATCATACGCTGAAATGTGGCTGGTGCATTGGGTAACGCGAATGGCATGCGAAGAAAACGGTACGTGCCAAAAGGACATACCATGCAAGTTTTGTCGCGATGCTCTTGCTTAACGCTTATCTGCCAGTATTCGGCGACAGTCCAGCACGTGTAATAACAAATCGCTAATCCGCTTTTTCCGCTTATAAATGTAGGTCGTCTAGCGAGCCGTAGATTGTAGCAGTACGATGATGACGCGACGAAAATCGTGGCACGCTTATGACGTCACAGGCTTCGTAGCACCTTGATGACGACACAAGTCCCGTTGCACCACGAAAACGTTAAAAATTCGTAGCACATAAGATGACGTCACGAGACCCGTAGCTGTCTTCGTAGCACCACGATGACGTCACGCAGACTGGCCCCACGTTGGGCGCCACTTGTAGCGCGGGGGGTGCGGGGCGAGCGTTACGTGGGCTGATCACCGCTTACATAAATGACCCAACTTAGGTGAGGCGCAGTTATGCAAGGCGAGTTAATGCTTTTCCGAGGACCCTTGAGTGTTCAAGCAATGGTTGAAGCACCAAGAGTGCCTAGCGTAAGCACACCACGAGTAACCAAGCACACCAAGCTCTTCACGAGCTCCCTTCAAGCTCACCAAAAGTTGGTCACGGCGGCCGAGGTCACGAAACCATCTATGTACATCGATAGTGGCATATAAGTGAACCACGGCGCCATCTAGTGACAAGCGGCGTAATTGTTCAGTTGCATCAATGCATTAAGGCGCCGCATGCACGATTTTACTACTCGGCATACGATGGCGCGAGTAGTCTTAATTTATCTTGTTACAAATTTTCATAATTTTATGCAGATGAAGTCGCACGGGAACAGCTAGTTGTGTATATTTTATGAAGTATTTTTTATTGAATTAAATGTTTGTATCAATAGTTAATCTAAATATCGTGTAGAAATATCCAGAGTAAATACTACTGAGGTTGTATGTTGTCAAGTTTTCTCGTCCATTGCAAAGTGAATTGTAAAATTCTTGGCAGCGAATGAAACTGTTTTCCTAGTAAATACAGTTTTATTCTTTTTACCGGTGCTAAACCATATTCTGCGCTTTTATACATTAAATAAGGTATTGTTATTGCTTTTAGTGCATTTTCTTGTATCCATTGAAAGGATAATAAAGAACGTAGTTGAAACAATACTGTAGGGATTATGCGAATATTATAATCTTGTTTGTATCTTTTGTTGTTATTTCTTGTCGATGTATAAACCAAAGATATTAGAAATATATAGACTAGGCATAGTGAACATTTTTTCACCGGTAACTTCTTTGAGAGGTAATATGTTAGTTGTCAAATATGATACGCCACCTCATATCATTGTAATAAAACATTTTACAAATTTATAATAAACTCCAACTTTTGTTATAAAATAAACTAAGCAGTTTTATGAAATAAAATATAAATAATTAAATATGATTTAGTGACACCTACTGGCCAATAGGTGTCACTAAATACAATTATATTGACATGTGCTTCTTCGATTTATTTTTTTACTCTTTAGTATAAAATGAAGCATTTGTACCTTGATAAGAACTTTTAATTTATATATATTTCACATCCAATAAACCATTTCTTAAAGAAAACTGTGTATTTACTTACCTTGTTTTAAAAGAGAAGTGACCGCATTTCTCTGAGAACGACTTATGGTCAATATTACTTAACATCAGGCTACTTTGTCAGCTGAAAGACCTACTTTAGAGATTGATTTTATCCGCTCAAGTATATTTTCTTTGCAGCAAAATGTTGAAGTCGCGCATCGTTTGACGCAGGAGGGTGTTGTTTAATAAAATAATTTTTACCTTGAATTTTATAACTTGAATAGGTGACAATTTGGAGTATTGTCTACATTACTAAACATAGACTGATATTTGGAATTAAAGGAAACGATCTGTTTATCAAATTTCAGATGTCAGTGTCTTCTGTTTTTTTGTTATATCGCTAGAACTGATCAAATGCTTTAAAAGTGATGCCAAATATTTAAATGTATGTACTTGTAATATTTTCGTACATCAAAAGTAGTGACCCTAATACATGTAGAGCTAGAAATTTCTAACGTGGAATATTGCGTACAGGATCGTAGAGGATTAATTCTGTTCGTGTAGGCACGCATTTCTTTGGGCGCGGCGATGTTTTACGTATAATCAATATTACTTAGCGTCGAGCCCATTTGTTAGCTACGTGAAGTTTTGTTTTATTCACTTAGCTCCCGCTTTTTTGTACTTTTCGATGAAAAAGTTAATTGACTTAGTTTTATTAAGGAAAATAATATTGTTAGGAGTTGTAAGGTTACTGTAGCTAGTCAAAAGTTTATTATTAAATATGAATTTATTTTATAGTAGTAGTATTTAAAGCTAGCTGTTGCTCGCGACTTCGTGCACGCGATATTAGGTTAAAAAGTATTCTGTAATATGCCTGTCTATGTCAGTTACCCTTCATTGAAACTCCGTCGAAATTGGCCTAGCCGTTTCGGAGATTACCCGGAATAAACGCGGTGTGAGGACAGACGGATAAAAGTTTTTTAATGCAATTTTCGTTATCCGCAACGCAAATACATCATCTTCCCGAAATTCGGAAATTTTCTTTTGATATAACAAACAGACATTCTAATTTTATTATATGTATAGATGTAGGTAAACGTTTAAGCATTTCATATTATCCATACGTTATACTACAAATTGTGCACAGATTCTAAGTGTTATCACTTGCAGTAATTAATTCTTGGTACACAAGCCTCACTCGTGGTTTAGCTTTGTATATATGTTCTCGACAATTATTTCATGAATCCATATCTGTATGCATATTACCTCAACTATGTTTATTCCGTTTTTGTTCTATGTTAAACGTCAAAGACTTGTGTTAAATTACTGTGGGGTTTCGTTGCTGGTATACATTGCTATCATTACATTTTAATTATAATATTTTGGTAAACGATTATTATTAGTGTGGATATACATATGTATGTATATATATATATATCCACATTTAAAAAAGGAAAAAAAAATTGTCGTTAATAGGTACCAAGGTTGCTGCTTCAGCAAAGGCAGCAGGTGCTACTAGGGCCCCCTCGGGGGTATTAAAAAAAAAAGAAAAAAGTTATTTTTTTTTTAGTGAAGGATGATTAAGTGTGCGATAGCTTTAATTGTTGGTTCATTGAATTTGTCGGTAATTATTTAATTCGAACGTATTTGGGAAATATTTTGGTGTTTCGATAGGTTGGTCACTTCTATTTCTATTAGGAGTTTTTTGAATGAAACAAAATCGTTTTCTTATCGAAATTAACCCTTAAAAATCTAATTTTGGAAATAAAATTAAAAAACATGTAAGTGTATCCTTTACTGTATTTCGTTATAGGCTCCTTTTTGTTTTCTAATTTGAAGATTATTAGTCGAAGGTAACTTGTAAACAGCCTAATCTTACTAATATTATAAATGTGAAAGTTTGGATGGATGGATGTTTGTAAGCTTGTACCCTAAAGGCTGAACGGATCTGGATGAAATTTGGCATAGATGTAGAGGATAGTCTGGAAGAACACATATGCTACTTTCTTTTGTTTTTATCAATATCACGCGGTCGAAGTCGCTGGCGGAAGTTGCGATTATATAACTCCGATATATAATTTAAAACTTCAGGCAAGGGTAAAAAACGTAGTTCTAGTAAATCTACAATTGGTAGTAAGAGGTTCTTTTATGATTTTAAAATCCACCACAATACACGATAGTTAACAATAACAATGAACATTTATTGTCTATAGAATTGTTAAAAACTTGTACAACGGTAAACTTTTATCCTTACTTTTGGAGTTGTTATGAGGTAAAGTTTATCCGAAAGCAACAAGGGGCGAGAATATTACAAAGCGGAAACACT